CATTTGTGACCCTGGAGCACAAAAGCAGTCTTAAGTCGCTGGGGTATATTTGTAGCAATAGCCAAAAATACATTGTTTGGGTCAAAATTATTTTTCTTTTATGCCAAAAATCATTCGGATAAGATCATGTTCCATGAAGATATTTTGTAAATTTCCTACCGTAAATATATCAAAACTTCAGTTTTGATTAGTAAGATGCATTGCTAAGGACTTTATTTGGACAACTTTAAAGGCGATTTTCTCAATATTTAGATTTTTTTGCACCCTCAGATTCCAGATTTTCAAATAGTTGTATCTCGACCAAACCTAACAAACCATACATCAGTGGAAAGCTTATTTATTCAGCTTTCAGATGATGTATAAATCTACATTTCGAAAAACTGACACTTAAGACTGGTTTTGTGGTCAAGTGTCACAAATATAAACAAAATTTACAGATTGTGTCTCAAAATCTAACGAGATGCCTGCTTAAACGCGTTAAAACCGCACGTGTGATAGCCTAATATGCTGTCTAGGTAGGGCACTCACTACATTTTGAAACACAGCTAAGTTAACTTTTACCGGAGCAGAGGAGACCCCGGATGAAATAAATCGAAACATTTGGAACTGACAAAATATATGTTTCTTTGTAACTTACGGTATATATATTTTTTTATTGTTGTATCTAGTCTGTAAGTTTACGTTCGTGTACCAGCTGACGTGGAAACACTCACCTGACTCGCTTTATAAAACTGTTTCTTTAGTCCGGCAACAGACATCTTTGCGTCGGATCCTTTCGCTTTAACAACTTAAGATTTAATTTAATTCACCCAGTATTTAAAAACAAAACTCTAGGCTTCTAGAGAACTGTGAAAAAACAAACTCTCGCAATCTCTTCTTCCTGATCGGACCTGCAGTGTGCACGTCACACCACATCTACACTGCGACGCGACGCAACTAGAACGCTCCCATACACGCGTCGCGCATAATAAGAGAGTTCTGATTGGTCGACTGGTTGCCAACGTCAGGATTTCATCGCTCACATTGTAGCATGTTTCAAAAGCTTCCAGTACTAAACATGTGACGTTCTTTCAAGTTATTTTTGTAATGTATTCATATTACGTAATTTGTATTGTTGTAGGTATTTTGTTATGCATCTCTGGCAACAGAAGAAATAATAATGAGGCGTAACTATCTGATCTGATTGGCAGATTGAGTGCGTCGCGATGCTCGCAGAGATACAAACGCTCCAGTTTCCGGGTTAAGATTTATCTACCTGTGTGTTTAACAGTTTGTTACTACGTTTTCGCTAAAAACAGCATGCAGTCAGACAGCATTAATTCATTGAAATCCATAATTAAAAAAAAAAACATATATTAAAAAGACCCTATAACAAAAACACCTATCCCCACCTACATTATATATCATTTTTGATATGCCAGAGTGCCATATAAGTATATTATGAGATTAAACTGAACTGAAATTAAGCTGAAATAAAATTCAGTGAAGTAGACAAATCACAAGCGACATTTCTTTTTCAATAATAAAATCCATCTTTAGTTTTTATTTATTTTATTTCATTTTCTTTCATTTAGTCATATTCTGTGTCTTATAATTCAGGCTAAAAGAACCTGTAATAGTACATTAGCAGAAAGAGGAAAGGTCTTTGACACTTTGTGATTGACATTCACAAAAAATATATATATTTAAATATAGCTACAGGACACAGTGATCAAGAATACGGGTCTCCTATTCGGTGCAAAGTGTGTATGTGTGCGTAATGTGTGTGTGTGTGTGTGTGTGTGTGTGTGTGTAGTCGGCAGAGGATACTGGTGAGACAGAGACCAGCCATCTCCCTGAGAATAAATCTTTTTTTGTGTGAAACACACAGAGCAGAAACATTTCTTCTACAAAAATGAAATAAACATGAAACCACAGAAATTGCTTTACAGGGTGACTGAATGAGACAAACACAATTTCGTCTTTACAGGAAGGCATGCATCAAAGGCCTAGAGGTGGGGATTGTCAAAACAACACATTTAAAAATACATTACACAGAACTCCCATACTTCTCATTCTTAAACAAGGACAGGCTACACTCCTTGATGTGAGATGCTGTAATGTTGGGCACACAAAAAGAAGACAGATTTCCTCTTGTTCATTAAAAATCGAGATACAACACCACATTTGATCTCTCATACAGAATACAAGCTCATTCATTTATATGAATCGCCTTAACCAGTTGTGTAGTATATATAGTAGTACTATAAACAATACAGTGAACCTTGATAGCAGAGAGCTCTGTCGAATCCTTGTTTTGGTGCAAGAGTATGGAAAAATAGGATGGAAGGATGCGATCCGGGCCACAGAAATGGACAAAAGGAGATGCAATCAACAATTTACAAAATAATACAACAGAAACCACACTGGCAACAAGATGCATGTGGCGTATCTGTACCCGAAACCTGCTGGACTGAGCTTCTGAATCAGTTTCTCTAGTTCTTTTCTTCAGGTTTGTGAAAACAATGCTTTAGCATGTGAAGCCCACCAGACAGGTGATCCTATTGGAGGAAGTGTCTCATAACATCAGGCTGGGGTCATCAGGGTCGCCCCAGCTCTGTGTGTGTCCCAGAGAACAAGCTGTTGAAAAGCCATCCAGCTTGGCTCGGAATAACTGTCCATCTCCTGTAAGTGTTCCATCCGGATCACTTATAGAGGGCATGTTCCGGAACAAAATCCATGCCAGTTCATCTTTTGGGTCCGGTATTCCTATGCACATGCTGGAGGAACTCAAAAGCCGGCTGATGAAAGTCCTGGCTCATTGTTTTTTTTAAACATTTCTCTTCCTGCTCCACCTTTCTGTCTTTCTCTTTCTTGACTTAAATGTACTAATTTATTTACATTCCTATTCAAAATAATCTTTTAGAAATGTCCATATGAATTAAATGAACATTTAACTTTTTTTTATCTAAAGTGGCATTTACAAGGGAAGGGGATGTGGGACTGAGGTTACTCATTGCATTAAAATGACAAAAAAAATAAAAAAAATAAGGTGCAGCACCAAACACTGTCAAAATGTGCCTGAGCAAACAAGAGCATGTGTGGGTGGAACAACTGTGTCAAATATTCTATTTGCCAATAGAGTGCAACAGTCTGATTCCGGAAGTTTTTTTTTAAACAATAACATCTGTTTAAACAGCTCTGAGTTTGTTAACTGATGGTTTATACTTTGGTAAAGCAATCTTTTTCGCATGCATCTTTAACAGCGGAATTTGTCATGAAAAACTACATTACCCATGATGCTGTGAGGACAATCTCACCAATCAGAGAGTCGCAAAGGCAAATCTCAGCAAAACAGCTAGCAGGGAACGCAAATGACATGAGTCAGTCAAAATTCTTAAATATTTGTATATATGTGCATATTTTGAAATACACTTAAAATATACTATTTCTTTTGATTAAATCCGAAACTTAAAAAAGAATAGTTCTATATTTCACTATTTAACTCTATTTTCAATCGAAGTGCTTGGGATTGTAGTTTTTTCCCCTCACTAAAGCCATTAAGTACACAATCTTGTACCTTTGTTTTTTTTTTGTTTTTTTGTCCAATTTTCAATACATTTCTGCTTTAACTAAAAGTTTGTAATGTTGTAATTTCTTCTCGCAGCTGGTTAGTTTGGTTCAAGGCTTTAACAAAACCTTTTTTTAAATCCCTATGGGGAAAAAAAATGAATAGAAAAAACACTTCCGAAACCAACACTGCTGAAAAAGTGGACAAGCACTAATGCACTCTATTCTTTACAGTCATGCCAAAGTTTGCAAACCCCTTATATACAAGACTGTATTCTGTTGAATATCTCTTTTGCATATAACAATGTCCTGTTAAGCAGAGTTGCACTCAGACGTTGTTTACTAGAGTCTAATACTGTACTAAATGTGTCAAATCCTGCTGAATATGAGGTATGAGATCAGGTAAATAACTGTTAAAGTGAGGATTTCATGGTTGCAGTTGCGTTATTGTAACAAAAAGGCGTTCACAAACGTTTGGCCATGACTGCGAAAACTCGACTTCTATTGCACATTAGAAAAGAGTTTAGCACACTTATGATTTCTGGTTTGTTTAGCTAGCTTTAAAGGAATATTCAAGGTTAAATACAAGTTCAACTCAGATGCTATCAGATACAGTTAAGCATTGTAAGGGCTAATTGTTTTAGAACTGTACAGCTGCCCACTATAAGTGCATTTCTGTCAATACTTGTTTGTGTTTGTTTTCACAAACTGAGGTGATTCAAAATTATTCTTTTTTCTAAATATGCCATTTTGAAAATTTACCATTTTTTATTATTTTAAACGTAGAAATGAGCTTGACTTGCATTTAATGTGGAACATTCCTTTAACGTAGCACTGGTAACATTGGTCCCTTCATTTTTAACAAACAATCTGGGCACATCAGTTTTTTTTGTTGTTGAGTGGATTGTCATAAAGTCTCATAAAGCATAACGCAAGACCAAAAGTGCATTGTGTACATTCGGTCTCAAATCAAAATAAGTGCTTTTGGGATACATTCATGATTCGTCCGAGGGTGAAAAAACGAGAGGAGAGAGAGGAAAAAAGCGATAGTAGTGCTTAAAGAGTGATTCAGCGGCGAAGGACGGATGACGTTATCTAGTATGTTGTATTCGCTTCATTAAAAAGTGTTGTGCTCTCCTGAATGTTCATGTGGAAGAGAGTTTGATCCTGTAAAATTATTAAAATTATAAAACCTCTTATAAAACTCCTTTAAATATCTCTGTGTACAGATGCAGAAGGAACAGTGGCATGCTTAGACATCTACAAGTTGGAACAAAGAGCCTTTGCAAGCATACATCTGTACATAAAAGATCATTTCGGAGTGTTTCCATAAAATAAAAACAGATCTGAGAGCACAACTCCAGGAATAATCCCTATACGAGTCGAATCTGAAATAGTTTGTTGGCCCCTGTGTTTGTGTGTATGAACATGTTTGCAGCAGGTTAAGTGTGTATGTTTGTGGTGTATTGTGTGTGTGTATGCTAACAGTGCTGCAATAGACTGAGGATTCTGCCTGGAGGTTTTTAAAATGGGTTCGTTTGAAATGCTGTTTTTACACATGATGGCCTCTCTTGCTTTAACACTCACTCGTGATTTCATTCTCTCCCTCTTTCTCCCGCTCTCTAACTGTTGGTGGAGTCAGGGAAGTTGATCTCGCTGCCGAACACTTCCCTGTACAGAGGCGGGAAGCTGTAGGCTGTTTCCGGGTGAACCAGGCGGAAGAAATCCAGCTTGTCAATATGCAGGTTACAGATGGACTTCATCTGCGGTAGTTTGGACACCATCTGCAAACACAATAGATCAGATACTACTGGATAATCTAAGCCTGACCTTTGCATTAGTACACAAACATGTGTTTTTTGCACGTTATAACATAAGTTATACTACTGTTCAAAAGTTTGGGGTCAGTACGATTTTTTCAATTCAATCAAAAATACAGTAAAACTGTGATATTATGAAATATTATTACAATTAAAAAACTTAAATTAAATAAAAAAAATGTCTATTCTCTAATGTTTTCTATTTGAATGTATTTTAAAATGTAATTTATTCCTGTGAGGAAATGATAATTTTCAGCATCATTACTCTAATCTACAGTGCCACATGATCCTTCAGAAATCATTCTATTATGCTGATTTGATGCTTGATAAACATTTTTTCTTATTATCAGTGTCGAAATCTGTTGTGCTGCTTCATATATTTGTGGAAACAGTGACGTTTTTTTTTTCAGGATTATCTGAAGAATATAACTTTTTTGTTACATTATAAATGTCTTTACTGTCATTTTGTATCAATTGAATGTAACCTTGCTGAATAAAAGTATTAATTTCTTTAAAAAAGCAATGTATATTTTGCAAATTGTGACAATTTGAATTGAATAGTCAATGTATACATACTCAATTATATGCAATTGTGTTAAAACCATTTGATTTACACCCTTAAATGATGAAATAACTTTATTATATTAAATTCAGTGGCTGACTCAAAATCCTCAAAATCTATGTAGTCTTAACCATTCAAATATGTAAATTATGATTTTTTTTTATGTATGCATAACCTAACACATATTACATTTCCCACTTTTCCCTTTTTTTGTGTTTTCTAGGTCAGACTTTTGTGCAGAACCAGTTTCAGTCAAACAGGTTCCTCACCTTATCCAGTTTCTCAGTAGTGGCTCGGTTCATGTGCAGGCTGCGCTGAAGAGCCACGTAAACTTTCTCCTGGAGCTTCTGCACCTGCTGAGACTCTGCCAACCACATAAGCTTTCCACTGATGTATTTTTTTTTAGGATATGACCATATTTGGCCGAGATAGGCTACAACTATTTGAAAATCTGGAATCTGAGGGTGCAAAAAAATCTAAATACTGAGAAAATCGCCTTTAAAGTTGTCTAAATGAAGTTCTTAGCAATGCATATAACTAATCAATTGATCTATTTACGGTAGGAAATTTACAAAATATCTTCATGGAACATGATCTTTACTTAATATCCTAATAATTTTTGGCATACAAGAAAAATCAATAATTTTGACCCATACAATGTATTTTTGGCTATTGCTACAAATATACCCCAGCGACTTAAGACTGGTTTTGTGCTCCAGGGTCACATATCAAAAGTCGTCTGTCATTTTCAGAAGACGCAGGTATGATATTTTAATTAAACAAGTAATTTACAATTTTTTAAATTAAATTAAACATGCATGGATTAATTTTTCACAATATGATCTGTAACGTGCATTCAGAAAATAGATAGTATGAATTTCATTTCATGCTTTAAGCATACTCAATTTGAAAAACAACAACAGCAACAACAACAACAACTAATAAAATAAAGAAGTGGTACAATCTACAAATCATTCTACAAACTTATTCCAAGTATAAAGGTTTTTATTTGATATATTATGTGCCAAGAGTGCTTTCCGCAATGCTTCCATTTAACTTTGATGAGCTATTACTCACCCGAACATCGCTTGTATTCACTAACTGGGTTAAAAACCCATTAGCTCTTGTGGCTTATTGATTCATGACGCCTCTGCTCTTGCTCTTAAGAGGCTGCTGGTGTTTTGCATTATAAGGTGAAAGAGGATGCGTTTAAAGTGGAATACTAGAGTACTCAATACTGCCTACTATTTTTTTTTCCAGATAGTTATGGAACTGTATACATTTCAAATAGCAGTTTGCTGCTACATTGTTATCACATGCCCTCATTACATTTGACACTAAACCACTACCTAATCTTACCTGCATGTTTAGTTTCGCAAGAGTATCTAGTTATACTACCAAAAATGTTATTTTGCATTTGCAATACATTTTTGTATGTTAGCATCCTATTCTGAATTCACTGATTTCATCTAGTTAAATTGAAATTGAGTAAAACTGAGTGCATTAAATTATGGGATGCCTGAGCCCAGTATGAATGTGTCGTACATTGCACATTTTAGCAAATATAGCAGGTCAACCATAGGTATTCTATGTAAAATAGATTACACTTTACTTAAAGCCTTTATATATAATGCTTAGTTTTAATGCATTAATTATGCCCTGTAAGACACCTTATAATGCATTGTTTGATTTCATGAGCAATTACCACAGTTATAATACACTATAATACTTGCATACCTAAATGCATCCAATTCTGTAGATATCCAGACACTCACCGAGAGCTTTGAAGAGCTGAGGACTGGCAAACTTGCCACCAAAAAACATAGTGTTGTTTGAAGAGTTGTAAGCACGGCACATTCGGATCAGCAGGATTTCCAGACATCCTGGAACAGTAATAGAGAGAAAGAGAGCGGCAAAAAAACATGATGGAGGGGAAAAGCAGAAAAGACAGAGGACAGAGACAAAAAGAAAGACAGACACAGAAAGATAGAGGAAAAAAAGAGTGCAGGGGAGGGGGAAGGAAAAGCGGGAATATGCTCCACCGTGCAAAAATGCAGACAGAAAATAAAAAAAATTATAATTTTTCTCCAAATATGGGAACATCAAACACCATGAAAATGAAAATTCATTGTGTTTGTGATCGTTTTAAATGACATTCAGTAAAAATTGTTTAGTGAAGGTTTTTTTTTTTTATACGGTAAGCACAAAGAGTAGTAGTAGACAGAATGTTGGAGAAACAAACACAAGAGGAGACAAACGTTAGTGCAAGTTTCAAGTTTAAGATCGAACACTGAAAAACATATACAGAACTGAATCCAGTGGGGCAGATTCACAAAACAGTTGCGCCACTTTTGCACGTCATTATTCTGATGCAAAACCTGCATTTTATTTATGTAACCACCCACAATCCAGTTTAACCAGCCACTAAATGTGCTGAAATATCACTTCTACTTGAGCATTAAGTTCATTAAGTTATTGTGTCTGTGTATATTTTTATTAACTCTGGAATCAGAAAATCATTGTTATAAAACGGATAGTTCTGGTCCTTGATTCTGATTGGTTGAGCCGCGTTCGAAGCTGTTGTAAATTACACTACAAACATACACCTTTGTTTACGTTTGTCTGTTGCTCGGCAACCACTTTGTTGGAACCACAACTATTTCTGAGGAACTACATTGTTTGGCTGAAGAATACGGTTTTTATTTATATCATTACACTTTATTTGCTCTGTTTTATTCTGTGAAACCTTACTACGTACAGTATATGGAATAACCGTTTTATAAAAGCAATAAGCCCCGTGAAGCCGTGGTTTACAGTGAATTTATAACAGCTAAGGGGCGTTGTTAGGCACGACGCGAAGCGAAGCTGTTATAAATTCACTGTAAACCACGGCTTCTTGGGGCTTATTGCTTTAATTGATGGTAAAATAATGGAGAAATACATTCTATCCGGACATATTTCCCAACACAGTGCAGTCGGGCACACAGGTATTTTAAAAAGAAGAATTTCAGGTCTTTGGTATATGGAAACTTATTTCCGCAATGGAATGTAAAAAAAAAAAGAAAAAGTAATTTTTATCTCAAAATTCTGACTTTTTTACCCTCACAATTCTGAGAAACAAGTTAGAATTGCAAGATGTTAACTTACAATTCTGAGAAATTTTTTAAAATTTGATTTAATTCTATTCTAAGAATTTAATTCTTTTAATTTAATTCTTAATTTGAGTTATAAACTATATACATGTTATATTTTAAAAACATTGTGAGTAAAAAAAAGTTGCAATTACCTTTATTTTTCTGTTCCTTAACAGAAACAAGGCTGTTCTGACTTTTTTCCCCAGAAATGAGTTTATTTCTCAATTCTGAATAAAGCAGTCAGAATTTTGAGAAAAAGTTAGAATAGTGAGCTAAGTTGCAATTACCTTTTTTAATTCCTTAGCAGAAATAGGCTTGTTCTTGCTTTTTTTCTTGTTCTCGCAATTCTGAGTTTATACCTCGCGATTAAGAGTCCTTATTACTTAGAGTAAAAAAGCTTGTTCTTATTTTTTTTCCTGCAATTGTGAGTATACATCTCACAATTCTGAGTTTATATCCCGCAAATCTGAAACAATGCTAGAAGGACTGAAAACTGCCCTGTGCAAATTGCACTCAACACTATTTTTGTGGGTGTGTGTGTGTGTGCGTTTGCCAAATAGGCTTGTTCTTGCTTTTTTTCTTGTTCTCGCAATTCTGATTTTATACCTCGCGATTAAGAGTCCTTATTACTTAGAGTAAAAAAGCTTGTTCTTATTTTTTTTCCTGCAATTGTGAGTATACATCTCACAATTCTGAGTTTATATCCCGCAAATCTGAAACAATGTTAGAAGGACTGAAAACTGCCCTGTGCAAATTGCACTCAACACTATTTTTGTGGGTGTGTGTGTGCGTTTGCCATTATCTGAACTGCATGTCAACATCTGCTCTCAGAGTATTCTGGATGTAGTATGAAAGACAACACTAAAGAAGCCAAGTGTGTTCTGGAATGGTGTTAGAACATTACCAAATGTGTTTAAACTAATAAAGAGATTGAACGGCCGCTCAGGGCCACATCAGAAATGCCACATCACGGCAGTGAGAGGATAAAGTGATGCGAGTGAGAAATCTGTTGTATAATCTGGGATGACTCATCTGTAATCCGCGTGAGACAAAGGCAGCACTGACCTGCTTTGAGCAGGATGATCTGGTCGTTCTGGCAGAGGTCCATGAATCCAGAGATGCGCTTTGCGAACTCTACAACGTACTGGATGGCGTTTGTAATGTGCAGGGCGCACTGCTGCCACATCCATTCTGCAGACTGAGTGCACAGAGATTGTTAATACATTTGTTGACAAAGAGACAAATCAGCAAGCACAGCTGCATGATTGACCATCTATTTATGTATTTGTCTATGTCATGTAATATGATAATGTTGTACCTTGAGCTGAAAGCTGCGGGTTTCCTCAGGTGTGTAGACGTTCCAGGTAAGTTTCTTCAGCTCTTCTGAGCTGTACTGACACGTCTCCAGGTGAGACTTCACGACATTTTGAGTGATTCGCTCTGAACGGAAATTCAACACACATTAACACATTTTCCCTTAGAATTTGTCTATTTAGACGTAAATAAATCCTTAGATAAATGGACTAATTATACGGACAAATTATAATTAAGATAAAACATATACACAGATTATATAATCTATAAAAATAACCACATAAAATAGTTCCATTTAATTATTTTGCATATTTATACAGGGCATAATGAAATAGATTTTATATAAATTATTTATAAAAAATTTGCATATATTATATATATATATATGTGTGCATTACAAGGCATAATTAATGCATTAAAACTACTTTGATAATGCATTATACATAAAGGCTTTATGTAAATTGTTTTTACTAAATTTTTTTACTGTAATAACACAGTACCAACACAAGAGGATTTTCATTGTATTATAGTAATGAGCATTTTTGAGGAAAATTGTTACTAAAGTAATGTCAAAATCTAATTCATCTTAATTTTGTTATATTAGCATAATGATTAAAACAAATCAAGGACAAGATCATAAAATGAGAATCTCTAATGACAGCTCACCTATGTCGTGTAGAGAGCAGTTGTCTGGTAGAGATCCCAGGAGAGCGTGCATAAGAAGACTGTTTTCAGGCAGGATATACTCATGCTTCACCCTCACTGCTTCCATCAAATCTACAGCACTGGGCTCTGGAGAGCTCTGATTGGACGAACGTCCGCTTCCGGTACTCCCGGACCCTCCGCCGCCCCCGAGCATCTCTAGAGTGCAGTACTCGCTCGCCTCCTCTGGGGTGAGCGGCAGGTCGAACAGCAAACCGTTGGGCAGCGTGGCAATGTCGTCCAGGTCGCTGAGGGTGGAGCTGGAGCTTCCGCTGCTGTACGGCCGGCTGTGCACGCTGTCTTCACCCGTCTCTTCACGGTCACGTGGTGCCAGACCACCACCCAAACCCGCCAGGCACTCCTGAGACAGCTGCTGGTGCCGCTGCACCTCCGCGCACAGGCTGTCCCGCTGTTTCTTTGACATTCGGCCAAACTTCACCGCTACAGAAAGAAAAAGTATGATATATTCACTTAGTATTACATACCATTAATATCATTTATTTGTAGTATTTATTTACAGATGTTTGAGTTCTTTTATTCAGCAAGGATGCAAAAACTGATCAAAAGTAGCAGCAAAGGCATTTAGGATTTTCATTCATAAGAAATAGATTTCTATTTCAAATACACGCTGTTTTTTTATTTCTATTCATTAAAGAATCATGAAAAAAATGCATCCACAAAATGTTAAGCAGCACAACTGTTTTCAAAATTGATAATAAGAAGAAATATTTCTTGATCAGCAAATCAGAATATTAGAATGACTGCATATTAATAATGATACTGAAAATTCAGTTTTGCATCACAGGAATAAATTACATTTTAAACTACATGAAAATACAAAACAGTCATTTTAAATTGTATTAATTTTTGCAATATTATTTTACTGCATTTTTTGATTAAATAAACAGCAGTAAAAATACTAAATAGTAGTAATATTTATTACTGCATAAATGACTGTTTAATTATTTAAATATGATTTTAATTTAATTATTAAATATTTTTGATTGCTTCCATTGTCCTCATTTGTAAGTCACTTTGGATAAAAGCGTCTGCTAAATGTCTAAATGTAAATGATATGTATAAAACTATTAATGTTTTATTTGCAAAACTGTAATGCCATACATAAAAAATGATATTTCATTAATAAAAACAAAACAAATTTTTCATATAGCCCTAACTGCTTCTCCTGTTTTGTGCAAAATATAATTTCTTGAATAAATATCTAAGACTACTGCACAGTACATGTGTTTTTTTTTTATGGTAAAAATAACTAGCTCTTAATTTATCTTCAAAATATGGGGTCTTAAATTCACACTTCTAATTCTGTTACAGTGAATCATCCAAGCAAAAGAAACATTATATTTGTCATCTGATACATAGACCAGTAGGTCCTGATTCAAGACTATCAATAAATACAATTTATGACTATGTAAACTACTTTAAATAAACAGGCTCATATGGTTCTAAACATAATGCAGGTATCTGAATTTGATGAAATCATGCACAGGTTCTTCACATTTTCACATCATGATCATTCAATCAATCTAACTGTGACTGAATAAAACCAAATAGCCACAAAAATCATAATTGTTGGCATGAAGTCTTCCTCAGCTGCCCTTTGACCCTGCTTCTCCTTGTGTAGGACTTTTATTTGAGTCCTGGTTTCTAAAATTCAGTTTTCTGACTGCTGGTGGGCTAGACTTGCGCTCACCATCACGGCTCATGCCGAGCGCCAGGCACTTCTGCAGGCGACAGTGTTGGCAGCGGTTCCTGTTGGTTCGGTCGATCTGGCAGTTCCTCTGCCGTGAACACGAGTACATGGCATTGTTCTGCTGGCTGCGTCGGAAAAAACCCTGCAAAACAGAAACGTACCTCAGCGTACAGGATGGCTAAGATCAGATGTGGCTTTCATAGGTGTGCCCTGCCACCGCATGACGAACATAAAGTAATATAAACTGACCCAGAAATCAGAACAAAAACATCGGGATAAAAGATAAGGAGGGACAGAGCACAAAAGGATAATTTTGCTTGCGTATGTAGAAATCTACAAAGTGCACATCTAGGGTAGGAAAAGAAGAAAATATAATATAAAAATCAATAGGGTATTACACCAGAATTCTTACCTTGCACCCTTCACATGTAATAACGCCATAGTGAATCCCAGAGGACTTGTCGCCACAGATCTTGCATGGTATAACCTCAATTTGAGCTGGAATAAAAAAAACAAGCATCGTTTTAAGCATTAAAAGCAAAAACATATGCATGAATCACACAGAAAAGCACATATGCACAAATATTGTTTTGACATGCACCACAAATAATATCAACCAACGAAGATCACAGTCAGATAGGGAGATCTCTCTCGCTTTGCATGGCATGAGGGACAGAAATAGCCAGAGGATTGATTTTCTGACTGAATGGTGTATTATGTCTCGGCTTTATGAGAGGCCTTGATACGACTCATGTGATCAGTGGAACACAGTGTAGGCACTTTTAGAAACTAGATGCCTGGATTCCATATACAGACAGACATTAACTGGTGGTGGTTGAGGAGAGACCCCCCCACATGATTGTAAAGCGATTTGGGTGTACAGCAATACACAATAAAGGCGCTATATAAATGCATCATTCATTCATTCATTCATTAAACTGATATTTCCTAATTAACAGTAAACATTATGTAAATAAGTACTCAATTATTGACAAAAACTAAATAAATAAAAATGAATTCATTAATAAATGAAAGGATGAATGAAAAAAAAGTGCTTTATGATAACACAATTATTATGCAATAAAACATACTTTCATAGTTATATGCAAACAATTATTTATTATTGTGAAAAACTAAAAATTCACGAATGAATGAATTCATCAATAAATAAAAGAAAAAAATAAATAATAAATAAAAATAAAAACAAACAATGTGCTAACTACACTATTATGCAATAAAATATATTTTAATATTTATTTTTAATTATATAAATGTTTTCATATGTAAACAAGTTTTCAATTATTGACTAAAAAACTAAATAAATAAAAAGTGAATGCATTAATAAATGAAAAAATTAAAATAAATATGTTTTTATATATTTAATTATAACTGTTTGAACTAAAAACTTCATATAGATGAGACAGACAGACAGACAGACAGACAGACAGACAGATAGATAGATAGATAGATAGATAGATAGATAGATCAATGAATGAAAAAATAATTGAGTTTTGAGATTATGCAATCATTTTCTTTATTTCATATTTGCCATTTAGTGGTGGAATGGAAAAAAAAAACTAAGCTTGCAAAAACATCCTCAGTATAAAAAAAACATCCTCCATTTTGTCTTTCTAGCTCTGTCAGCTGAAAGTAATGACCAAGATACCCTGTGGCATGCAATGGAAAAATCTGTGAGCCCTTGGGTGCCCCTCCCGTACCGCTCTCTCTATAGTGTTATATAACCTTCGTCTGCAAACATTCCACAAACACGCCATTCAGGGCTGCTCAGTCTAATAATGCAGATGTTCCGCCTCCCTGCCACTTCTGACAGCCTATTGGTTTACGTTTGGGCAGATGTGTCTGTGATTGGCCGGCTCTGAGTGTCGCTCTATTCGGCCTGGCTGTAAGCCCATGTGGACTCGCTGTCCTACTGACATACTTTCTCAGTGAAAAGGGGAGGGCGGCTGTGGGCGGATCCTCGGTGCATGTCATTTGAACAGGCCTTTCCCTTCTCTCTGTTAAGGTGGAACTGGTCTCGATGGGAATTTTGACATGCAAGAACAGGGGCAAGACAAAAGAAATGTACTGTATACATTTTTGTCGAGGTAATACTCTGTATAATCAATAAAATGTTATATGAATATTGTGATTACTATTACTATTATGATATTATTTTATATATTAAATAATACATGTTTAACCTAAAATGTTGACGAAAAAAGTGCATTAACACATAATGTGCATGTACTGTGTGTGTGCATATATAATTAATATTATATAAATTATTATACAATAATTTTATAAATTCAAAAAAATTTTAAGAGGCCATTCTTTTCTTTTTTAATTGGCTTTTTTATTTAAACCTGCTAGATTTGCCGTTTAAAAACAGTTACAAGTTGAAAAAACATTTAAAAGTGTTTCTCGAAATGTTTCTGATGCATTTCATGAGGAATCCTGACCTGTGTTTCATATTAGCACCACTAAGGAACCATGATCCTTTAGTTTCCACAGTCTCTTACGTCCTAAATGCCATTTGTGTTATATAATGGAGAATAAACCCAAAAAAAAATAAGGACAGACGAAGAATGGAATTATTTACGTGCATGGCGCTTCAGGAAAATGGTTCAAATCTACTTTGAGTGGCAGTCGCTGTTACCTGTGTTTGCGTGCAGGTGCTGTAATGCAATCAGCTTTGAGCAGAGAACACTGTGTTAATCAGTAAAGTCTAACTTGGTGACATAACAAGACGACAGATTAGATTAAACAGAAGAGCACAACAGATTTTAACCATAAGCATTCAGGATAATGCTAAAGGCCCAACAAATATCACAAGAACAACCTTAAACTTCTATTTTAAAGCCTTGCAATGACAATGCATACGCTTGAAAGTATAAACAATCATTTAAATGTAGGTAATTGTGTGTCATTTTTCAGTTTGGACTAAAGCGCGTGTAATGAGGTGTAGTCGTGTTTCTAATCGCAAATGAATTATCCCACAATGATGCATCTGTCTTATCACAGTGATGAGCAGAAGGGCTTCTGGTCACGAGGTTGGCATATGTAGGCCAGTGTAAAGAACAATGATTTAACACCTCGCCTATTTTACATAACATAACACATCCCCAAGCGATGTGAAATCCTGACGCTTCACGCAGATAGAACAGAATTACGCTGTAGTTTCTGATAAGACAGTCGGTCAGTGTGTCAGTAAGTCACTATTGGTTTCTGCTGTCTGGTCGTCATGAAACCAAGGTCATTCATGCCATGTTCACTTTAAAGAGTGCACTGATGCCAACCAAACATAAAATAAGATCCAATCATCTAATGGCTCTAAATGGGAAAACAGCTGCTTTTATGCATGCATCTGTGTGCGTTTTCTTTACCGTGAAGCCATTATTGTCATTTTAGTGTTGACTAAATAAAAAGGAAGGCTTATTATTAGAACACAGAGAATGCAAGTTACATGATGACACAAAACAGACCACGCAAAACGTCCAGGATTTACATTAAAAAAAAATTCCTGACAAAGTGCAGATCTGCTGTTTTTCAATAGAGTACATATATCACCCGCTACAGCCCCATGTAGCCTCATGTCCTTTCCTTTCCTTTCCTTAGCTGCCCTGTGAACATGAGCCACGCTGTGTATATTTAAACACAGCCCCACCTCACGACAGTATGTCCGGACACATTTCCTCATTTCCTTCCTCACATAGACAAAATCCTCACTTTGAGTTTACAGACAAAGAGTCTGGATCTTTGATAGAATTCACATATTTATTACGGTTTTACAGAATAACCATAGTTTTAAAGTGGAAACTTTTCATTGTCATCGTAAATTATTGTCGCAGTGCTTTTTATATAAATTTTATATAAATATAAATACTATGCACTAGAATTTATGTTCATTTAATTTTATAACATATTTAATAAATGAATTTTTTTCACTATGTGAGAAGAAAGAAAGTGCAGAGTGGGATTAACCATGCAAACTAGCCACTGTCATCGTAAATTAACGTCATACTGTTTATGTTCAGTTTTTATTTTATAATATATTTAATAAATAAATACGTGACCCTGGACCACAAAACCAGTCTTAAGTCGCTGGGGTATATTCGTAGCAATAGCCAAAATACATTGTATGGGTCAAAATTATAGATTTTTCTTTTATGTCAAAAATCATTAGGATATTAAGTAAAGATCATGTTCTATGAAGATATTTTGTAAATTTCCTACTGTAAATATATCAAAACTTAATTTTTGATAAGTAATATGCATTGCTAAGGACTTCATTTGGATAACTTTAAAGGCGATTTTTTCAATATTTAGATTTTTTTGCACCCTCAGATTCCAGATATTCAAATAGTTGTATCTCGACCAAATATTGTGTATAAATCTCAATTTTGAAAAATTGACACTTAAGACTGGTTTTGTGGTCCAGGGTCACATACATACTATGCACCAGAATTATTATTATTTACTTTGTGAGAAGAACGTGGTATTGACCATGGTACTAATGTGAAAACACATTATTTTCATGGTAAATTACTGTCATAGTGCTTATGATCATTTAATTACATATTACATTTAATTATAAATAAATGAATACTTGCTCCAGATTTTAAATTATTTCACTCTGTGTGAGGAAACAAACTACAGAGTGGAAATTGTTTGGAAAAGCCATGTATTATGTATTTTATCATCATTACATAATATCTGCTGCTGAGAAATATTCGGTCAGAGTTTTGGGGCTCTCACTAGTTATAACAATATTTTACAATTTTTATCACAAAATATTATGTAATACAATAAATATTTCCATATAACAACTCAATTTTAATTTATTTTATATGTAATTAAATTCATAACGTGATATTTTGCTATCATATATATATATATATATATATATATATATATATATACACTTAAATTTCACACAAAAATTAGTTTTTTTTTATATTTTGCATAATTAAAACTAATATTTATCGACAAAAATAATAGTAAGTCACCGTTACGCATGTATTTGTTACATAAATAGGTGAGACTGTTGTAATAAACGCCGTTTATTGTCTATATCAAGATCGAAGTTCAAGTTCAAACTCAAGTTCATGATGGAAGGTAAAAGCGCGGCGGTGTCGATCATCACCAGCAGACCGCATGGGTCTGCACGACTCCAGCAAAGCGCCTCCCCTCGCTCGCGTTCTATCGCTCTCTCATTCCCTCCTGTGAATGCTGTGTAATGCTCAGTGACATAACTAGGTCAGTAGAACAACAGGTTTGAGCGCTGCTCACACAGCCGGCCATGCTGCCCTGCAAAAACAACAACACGCAGCCGACAAGCCACAGAGACAAACCTCCATCTCCAACATTTACACTCAACAATATCACCACAATCGCATAGAGCGAGGATTTAACTCACAACAAGTCGCCTTTAGAGAAATATTTAGATTTAGGGGACTGTACTGGACTGTCACCACATGGAGACATTTTAGCCACCAAATACATTAATATTTATATTTCCAG